ATTTTTAAGGGAAATTCGATAATTGACCCATCCCATTATTATCATCTGCATAGCATGGAATAGTAATGACTTGTTTATTGCCGTTGACATCTTTCGGCACGAGACTTTGACCCTCCTTTGATCCTCATTTTGTGCATCAAATTTCATCACCGACGTCTTGCGCAACTTGGGAGACACACTGGCACCCAAAAAATCTTTTAATTTCCACTAAAAAGTCTCAAATTTTTAATAGACGGATCAAATTTTAAGAGACAAACTGGCACCAAGAAAAAAATCTTGAATTTCATATTTAGGATGTGTGACAAATTATGAGCTGATGATAGCTGTAAACATGAGAAGGCCACACATGAAACATTTTTTGTAGAACGATCAGCACCGGTTAATGCTTCAATTAAAGTTATTGTTTACAAGAAAAAATGAGTTGTGCTATTTTCATGAAAATTAAATGAGTCGTAAAGATTTTCTTGGAAATCTTTTAAGATTATGTGCTTTGTGACGCATTTGAAGAGCAGCTGTAAGGTCGAAAAATTATGAAAATCAGCTTGCAATGCAAAAAAAACTTGATTCCTTAAAAATCTCAAATAAGTTTTTTTTGACTAGAAACGAGAATCGTTCTAAATTTCGCTACAGTTTATCCATATTCACAATTTTAAGTTGTACATTAAGAATCTTATTAATCCAAGCTCATTCAGACAGTTCATAGAATATCAAAACACTTTCTCATCTCAATTCATCTTCAATAAACACTACAAAAAACTTTTTATTATCATCAACACTGAATTATAAATACAAAGCAACTTCTTCGTCTTCTTTTCATCTTCATCTTGTGAGGTCGTATGGCAAAATTATGACTTCATTGGACCCGTCATGACTGTATGAACTAGGTCTTGTAATAACAAATATTCATTCGATACTTTCATCCTCATTACGTCATAAAATATTTAAGAACAAAAAGAAATATTGCAAAACACATGCGGCATTTGTAACTTCCTCAAAAAAAAAAATACACAATGCCATGTGTGGTCTGTCGACGTGAAGTCTACACAAGTGGCTTGATCTGTTGGATTTTTTCGAAAACAAAAGTGAGAATTTATTTCCTACATATTCAGCATGTGTGCATAAAATTAACATTTTAACCCTTTCAATATTCATTTAGACACCTCCACACATACACACACGTGAGCTGCTCGAGTTTCAATCAGATGATTGAAGATGGAGCAAGCGCCGGTTTGTGTCTGGGATTTAATACCGCGAACATTTTTCATTTTGAATTTATCGTACAGATTCGTTTCTGTTAATTGGTATGCATGTGTTGATGAATGGGAGGAAATGATTTTGCCTTAATTGATGTGTGATGAACATTTTTATACATTTTCGGGTTTTTGTTTTAATTGGAACCGTTAAAATTATTATGTTTTGGTTGTTGGTGATTTGTGGTATTGAATTGATGAGGATGAGTGGGAAATTGATGAATTTTGTTATAATTCCTGTGGCAATGGATAATTATTAATAATTTGAGTCTGGTTGAAGTAGATTTTAAACTAATTTTGTGAGTTTGGATCTCAATTTCCTTGTAATCAGGACTTAACGTAGTTCAAGTCCAATTCCTTCAAAACATTTAATTCAAAAACTTCAATTCATCCACAAAACACACAAAATTTCATTTCCTTTTGATTTATTGATTTACGGTAGAAAAAACTTGCAACCAACAAAATTTTTATTTATTTTCCTCATATTTGACTTCCTTTCAAAGTTTCAATGCTGTAATGCATAACTGCAGGAACCAAACCATCAAAAAACCCTAAATGAAGTAAAAGTAAAATTAGCATGAAAGCGGCAATGCACAAAAAGTACACAAAAAAGGCATAAAATTGATTGACATGAAATTTACATAAGCCAATGAAAAGTGCACGAAGGTATAAAATTGGCACAAAGAATGCAGCACAGAAATACACAAAAAAAAGTCAGACAACACAGGAAACAAAGTCAAACAGCATAAAAACCATCAAACTATGGGCAATTTAATGATTGCATTTTAGTTCACAAATGTTCCAATTTTTCACATTTTACAATACAGGCGCACATTGCGAATACAATTGACAACAAGCATTTTTGTAAAGTGACAAAAATTGCATCATGCTTAATTGCTTGGCCGAGTAATACCACCATGAAATGTATTGCATTTTGTCGATCAAAATAAAAAAGTCTTTTATGTCTTTGTCTCTTGAAAATCGCTTCCATTTCGTTATAGCTGAATAATTTCTTTGATGGTATCGGAAAATAATAAAAATAATGGGACATAGACACAATTCGACAGAAGCTAAGAGTTTCAGGTCATGAATTAAAAAAATTGCAGTTTACCAGCTTTTTGATGCAATGGTTTGGGGCAGTTTGGGGTTCTTTGGTCACTTTGGACGATGTGTAGCTATGCTATCTATAACTTCTTGTATCAATAGATTTTTGTATGGCTCATTTTGTGTCTTGTATGTGGCAAAAAATTAACAAGATATGATTCAACGAAATGAAACTCAACAACATCTTAGAAAAAATTCATCAATCTCAACAAAATGCGCTACCAAGCACCCATCTCGTCCAACTCAGCCCAACGTCTACCTCTTCATTCATGCACCGCTGTCATTCTATCTATGTGTATGGGAAATGGAACGGAATTGGAAAGACAAAAAAAAAGACGTTTAACAATAATTATTTTAGCTTTTATAGAAAAGCAAGTACGCAAATAGAGAAAATTAATTGCTAGTGCTACGTAACCTGTCTTTTGTGGTGTTAATTATGCAGAAAAAGCGGGTTGGGTGTGGCTCGAATGAGAATTTGTTGTGAATTGAACGGATGTGAACAAAATGGCTTTTATGTTGGACTTTTTAGGTGATTGGCACAGAAAAAAAAATGTTTGAATTTTGTTGAGCGAAAAGAGTTGCGAAATGTGTGTACGAGATGCTAGGGACATGCGGTCTTGGATTAATTATCTTATCTATTTAAAAATACTTAAAGGATATCTAAACTAAGTCTAATAGCAAAATTTGTTTCCAAATTATGTAATCGTGCAAATTCATTATGTTGTTATGGCTGTTCACTCATGTTAACTGTATTCCTGACCAAAATATGCTCCCATCAACGCAATTGTGATTTTTAGTAGTTTTTTGCATCCTGCACAAAAATGGCCTTTCCACATGAGTGAGAAAACAAACATGAAATTTCATATGTTCAGTTTTGGTTAATGTCGGGCTCAATTTGTTGGTTGTGATTTTCATCTGCTCTTTAGCATCATGTTATGTTAATATGATTGTAACTTTTGAATGAATCCAGAAATAAAAAATTCCTCATATGAAAATAATTACAACTCTCACTCAGTCCGCATGTGTGCACCACAAAATATTTCATTTTAATATTAATTTTGATAATTAATTACGGTGAGATGAATGGCTTGTCGAATTGTGAATAATTGTTCTGTGTTGCTCATTTTGTGTGTTTTAATTGTTATTTTGGTTGGTAGAAACGAAAACCTTTTTTTTTTTTAATTGCTTATTTGTGCTGATGAATTAAAAAACTTTTTGCTTTGTTTATTCAAACACCAATTTCAAATTGTATTAATACAACAAAATATGATAATATTAATGAAACAATAACCATCAGCAGTTTGTAATTAAGCAGAAATATTCCGAAAATTCTCAAATTAATTTGACTCAAGTAAGGTCCAGTTAGGAATTCAAAAATCTAGAATTGAAAAAAATTAGTAAACAAAATTGAAGCAAATGACTCAAATATACATCGCTTCTTGTTCCATCACTTATATACATAAAACAAGTTGATAACTCTCTGATAACGAATTTCCTTTCACGAGCAATATCCTCTCCAAATTTTGCATAAGATATCACGTAAATTATATAAGGAACAACAGTTGATAAAGTTGCTACATAAAAGCTGAATGTATGATCGTGTCGATATAGTTGAACATGATTAAATAACTGAAATTTATTAACATTTATTAAATCGCCTTAGCATAAATATCAGTTAGAGCTTACCAAGATTGTTATCATTGTTGTAAAATTGACATTTGTTAATGTTAATTGATTTCCAAAATTGTCATGAAATATCCTAAAAATTTCACCTACTCGACGAAGTTTCTTCAAAGTTTCTTGTATATTTTTATCATTTTTTGAACATTCTAATTGAATTCTAGCATGTCTTAAAATAATCACAACATAAAGCTCAAAATTGTGGATAAAACTTGCAAATGCTATCGTTGGGAAGTAAACGTACATATTAAAAATATGAAGAATGACACCTTGGATTTTTTTGAAATCCACAAATGCCAAAAATTGAGGAAGTATAAAAAAGATTTGAATGGAAATGATTAAAAACAAATTTCTAATACAAATTTTCTTATATTGGACTGAAGAAAATTCATTTAATTCATCTAAATTTAAAATACTTTCAATAAATTTGAAGATTTTTATAAATCGACTACATTGTGACAAAACCAACACATAAACCCCACCGATCGATAGAAAATAATACAAAGTTAATAAACGATTTGACAACTTTGAATATTGTTTTAATTCGGCTATGTTGTCTTCATAAAAATATTTTCGGACATTTGTATTTACTGTATATACAACAAGATAGCATAGACCAAGTGTAATGTAAATTAGATTTACAATAGCTCGAAATTTTGACACAACAAATTGATTGTTTTTCCTTTTTATGCACAATATTGATGAAAAACTGTAGAAATTCAAGAAAAATGATTTAAAATTTGTGATCATTTTATGACTAGCTTGTTGTTGTTCTACTTCCTGAATATACAGTAATTAAAACACGGAAATGTCTTAATGAAATTGTGCTAGTTGTAATTAATTTGGTTGACATTATTGCATTATTAATGAATGTTTATTTTGGGAATGGTTGAACACATGTAAATGTGCCGTACGTTATTTATTAATATTCAAAAACTCTTAATTGAAGCATTTGAAGACATAAACTTATACTCCAATCTCAAACTGAACTAAAACTATGAAATACATCCAAGATATCGACAATACTGATTGCATGAATTTATGATTTAACAAAACTTTGTTAAATATTTTAAAATTGTTGTTCTTTGCCAGCAGCTTAATTGAAAGCAATTTGATCTAAAAATATTAATTTAGAAACATAGTTAAAAAATAAGTAAATTTTTGTTGCATCACTTACATTCTCACGTTGATCATTCCCACAGCATAGATAAGGTAATTGATTATTTAGTAAAGACAAAATTAACTTTCTTTCATTATCAATGTCCTCAGCAAAATTTGTGATGTAAAGTGTCATTTGAAGGATAAATGGAAAATATGTGGCAAATCCTGAAATCTTCATTACATAATCGTAATCTGACATTAAAGTTTGAACGAAATTAAAGCACTAGAACAAAATTTTAAAATAAGTTTGAAGTTAAAAACTTAGTATTTATAAAATTAAGACTTTAAAATTCGAATTAAACTCACAAAAGTGATATTTGAAAAAATATAGTTGACGGAAATGATTGTCAATTGAAATCCAAAATTTTGTTTAAAATATTCGAGTAAATAATCAATCTTTCTGAATTTTGAAATACTTCTCTCGATATTGTCCTTATTCCAAACAGAATCTTGCAAGTTTTTTGTCACTTCTCTTAAAGCTATTAAAATAAATTGTTGAAAATTCCAAAAGAAAATCAAAGTAAAAGTTGTGATGAAGAATAATTGAGCTGAAAACACCCATAAAATGTAAGTTGGTAAATAATCATTCTGCAACATCTTTAAATTTCTAATTAAAGTTGAAATACTTAAGATTAAAATATTGAAAAAAGTTCTTGAACTGCAATCATTTTGGAATTTAATCTTTGAGTCATTTTTTATCTGGAACACTTCAACAGCCTTTAGTAAGTTTAAAGTTTGATCTCGGCGAAAATATTGCATAAAACTTAGTATAAATCCACCAATATAAAAACACGCAACTGCAATAATTAAAATAGCTTTTGAAAAATCTGAATATTTTGATAACTGTATTGTTTCCTTTTTAGCGAGTCTTCCCCTAAAATGCTTATCAACATTCATAGATATCAAAAAAATTATGTATAGAATTAGCTTTAAAATTCCAATATCTGATACGAACAATTCAAGAGTTTCGACCGTTACAGTTTCCAAGAACACTTGTAAAAATGTCTTATTTGTCTGTCTGCCATGCAAAATTCGAAGTTTCATACCCTGCAGTTCGAAATTTTCGAAAATTAGGAAATATTAAAAACTTAAATTAAGCAATTTTTTCATGAATTTTAGATGAACATATTATTTTATCATTTGATAATAAGCATAATATAGCTAAATTTGTTTTCAAAACTATCAAAAACTTGAATAAAATGACCAAAAATTGTAACGGTTTTTCAAATTTAAATTTTTCGAACGTGCATATTAAAACACCCCTAGACTTTCGATAAGTCTGTCGAACATGAATTGAACGTATCAGTCCAATATATTTATAAACTTTTGATTCTTTAAATTTTTGATTATTTCTACTGACTTTTATGTAGGAGATACCAGTAATATTATTAAACACTAGTAGCCAGCTATGAATCATGATGAGTTCTGAAGAATATCCATCAAAGCATTTGTCTTCATTAGCCAAATTAGTAAAATAATTATTATATCAAAATTAATTGGGTAATTTGAATGTTTTTTAATTGATAAACTATTAATTTGTTTATTTTCATGCTCAATTTACATTCCCATTTCATACTGAATTAATACAATAAAATACAACAATGACATCGACACAATAGAATGCATTAATTCATGATCTAATGAAATCATATTGAAAATCTTAAAACTATTACTTTTCAAAAGAAATTTTATCGATAGTTCCTGTGCCTTCTTATGATGCTCTTTTTTACATCTCATGTGAGACAAGTGATTGTTTAGAATCATTAAAATCGACATCTTCTCATTCTCTACATCCTCTGCTAAGTTTGTCAAATAAAGTTTAACTTGAATAATAAACGGCAAGAATGTAACAAGGCTTGTAAGTTTCATTGCATTGTCATAATTTGACTTCATTGTTTGAACTAAGTTGAAGCACTAAAAAGAAAGAAATGAGTTTTGACCGCGAACAACTCTTAAAGTAATTCTTAATTATAAATAAGTTTAAACATTCATAATACTCACAAAAGTAACAATTGAGAAAACATAATTAACAGCCACGAGTGTCAGCTGAAATCCAAAATTCTTTTCAAAAGCTTTGAGGAAATTTTCAATTTTGATGAGATTTGTTAAAGATTTTTCAAACTTTTTTGTGCTGCATTCAGATTCTTGGAGACTTGTTTTCACTTCTCTCAAAGCAATCACAATAAATTGTTGAAAATTGCAGAAAAATGTGAAAATAGTAACGACAGTAAGATAAAGTTGTGATGATAAGAACCATAGAATGTAAGTTGGTGAATAATCATTTCTTAAAATTCTTAAATTCCTGATCACAATTGAGATCGCAAATATCCCAACATTAACAAATGTTGAGAAGCTACAAGCTTTGTTCAATTTCATTTTTGAGGCATTTTTTAACTCAAAATCATTGATTGCCTTACAAAATCTTAAAATTTGTTTGCGACGAAAATATTGAATAAAAATAAGAATCAATCCACATATGTAGAAACATTGAACTGCAATTTGGAGGATAATTTTTGAAAAATTTGAATATTCAGTTAATTCAACAGCTTCTTTACGAAACATTTTAGCCTTGAATTCTTTAGAAAAGACAAATGATAAGAGTGATAAAATAACAAAAAATGTTTTTACAAATCCATAATATTTAAAAAATCTCGACTCTATCCACTCATTATTTTTAGTGATTTTTATATAACAGATGCCTGCAAAATTGTTTAATGCGAGTAACTTGCGATAGTTCATGACGACTAATAATGGAAATAGAAATGAAATTTGATTTTAATTAGATAAAACTAGATAAAATGAAAAATATATTAATTGGCTGTAATTTGTCATTTAATGTCAAATTTATTTCAATGTCTAAATTCAGTAAAACAACAATAGTCAAAAGATAGTCTCAGAACAGTGATGAGCCACAGAGAATTTATAGAATCCATTGCTTATTTACACACCAATTTCAAACTGAATAAGTATAATAAAATATGAGATCATTAGCGACACTATTAACATCCTGAATCTGTGATTTAAAGGAAACAATCCATATATTTTCACATCAATTTGATCCATGTAAGATGCAATTAGAAATTCCGATAACTACAAATAATCAAACTATAATTTATTATGAAGTTTATGGACCCGCCTCCTCCTCTTCAATAAAACAAGTATATCAGAATGACATTTCCTTACCTCTTTTTTGTCTTTATTCTGAACGCACTCCGTTAACTTCAGGACAACGAGACCTTTGTGGAAAGCAAGTTCTTCTCCTAGATTTGTGTAATATTTCAAAGTTACTAAGCTAGGAAGAAGGCTGCAAAAAGTCGCCAAGTAAAATTTAAAAGTATATTCAAGTCTGTAAAGTTGAACGTGATTGAAGCTCTAAAATAACATTTTAAGTAGTAAAGGTTAGCTAAAAAGCTCTGAAATTTACCATTAAAGTCAACATCACAGCACAATCAGAACTAAGAAGTGTAATTTGGATTCCAAAAATCTTGTGAAAAGATTTAAGAATTGCAGCGATTTCTCTCATTTTATTCAAACTTTTTGAAATGGCTATGTCTTCTATTATTGCATCATCTAATTCGCATCTAATCTGCTTCATATGCAGAATTAAGTATTGCTTAAGGTTGTCTATCAAATACAAGAAACCGAGTGACGGAAATGAACCATAAGTGTACAATAAATGCAGTAAAATTCCGATTTTCTTTTCGAGAGTTAAAAAACTTAAACTAGTTGGTAATGTCCATCCATAAAGGCAGATTATTAAAATTACAAAATTGAATTTGCAATAAATTTTGAATTTTGTCAAAAAATAATCATTTAAGCCATTAATTCTATTAACTTTATTAAAAAATTTGTTCACTTTTTTGCTTTGAATATTTTGAACCAAAACCATTGAAAATGAAGCGCAATGAAACAAAACGACTGCAATCGACAGCATTACGTATGAAAATTTTGAAAATTTCTCTACATTCATCATTCCATCAGTATAAATAAATCTTATAAATTTTGGACTCAATAGAAAAAATGAATAATAACCCATAATTAACGAATATTTAAAAACATTAAAAAATGCCTGAAACTTTGATGGAACTAAGTCATTGTCTCTATGACTAACTGACAAAACACCACAAAAGTTGTAAAATTTAATTAAATTTTCTCTTGTTAAACACATTTTTGAAAATATTATGAACTTTAGTAGATGCGAGAAGCTTGATAACTAAATTAATATCAAGTATTATTGAGTTTTTGATTAAGAAAAAGAAGAATTAATAATTTTATTAATGTATTTTGAGTCAAATTAACATTTTCTTATTGATTTATATACCTAACTCATATTGTATAAGTACAATGAAATACAGCAAAGAAATCGATGCAACTGAGTACATAAATTTGTGATCCAATAACATTTTATTGAAAATTTTAAAATTATTATTTTTTGATGCCAATTTTATTAAAAGTTGCTTAATCTGTTTACAAGAAAGATTAAAATAAAGAATTCAGAAAATTTCAGAATAGCTTTAAACTTACCTGATTTCGATGATTCTTAGTACAACTCAAATAAGAAAGTTGATCACTTAAATTCATTAAAATTAACATTTTCTCATTTTCTACGTCCTCTGCTAAATTTGTTAAATAAAACTTGATTTGAATGAGGAATGGCAAAAACGTTACAAAACCTGTAAGCTTCATATTGAAATCATAATCAGATTTAAAAGCCTGCACAGAGTTAAAAAGCTAGAATATAAAGTTTTAAAAATTGAAAGTGTTAAAATTTAATTATTGTCTCACATAAGTCACGATAGAAAGGACAAAATCAACGGAAATGATTGTCAATTGAAGTCCAAAAGTATTTTCAAAAGCTTCCAAAAAGTTCTCAATTTTAATAAGCTTGGTCAATGATTCTTGAAAATTCTTGTTATTCCACATAGAGGCTTTGAACTCTTCGTTCACACTTCTCATGGCAATGACAATAAATTGTTGAAAATTGCAAAAAAATATGAAAACTGAGGTTATGACTAAATAAAGCTCAACTAATAAATACCATAAAATATAAGTTGGAATGAAGTCATTTTTCAAAATTTTTGCATTTCTGATGAAAATTGAAATTAAATTAATTCCCAAATTTGTGATCATTGTAGACTTGCAAGATTTTAGGAGCTTTGATTTTGAGTCATTTTCAAGTTCGTAGTTTTCAATAGCTTTCAAAAATTTCAATATTTTTCCACGCCGAAAATATTGAATAATAAAAATAATTATTGCACATAAAAAGAAGCACTCAGCTCCGAAATTTAAAATCATTTTCGAAAATTTTGAATATTCATTGAGCAGAACTGCTTCTTTTTTGAAAAATTTTGCTTTAAATTCCTCTGAAAGTGCAAATAATAAAACAAAGATAAATAATAACATTGTCTTTAAAAATCCAAAAATTATAAATATTTTTGACTCTTTCCATTCATTTTGAGCTGTAATTTTTATGAAACAAACACCACAGAAATTATTAAATGCTAGCAGCCAGCGATAGTTCATGGTCTCTTTAACAATGAAATATGAAATTTGTGAAATAGTAAAACTCAATTTATTCAATTCCCAGAGATTATCTTAATGGACATCAGTGACTTCTTATGCATGTACATAATTTATAATCCGATCTCAAACTGGATTAATATAATGAATGATGATAATGTTATTGACACAAGCAGCATCTTAAGTTTATTATTTAATGAAAATCGACCATAAATTTTAAAATCAATTTGCTGAAGATACGGTCCGGATAGGAACTCTAGGATCTAAAAATTTGATGTGAAAATCAGTGATAGGAAAGTTCTTAAGTTGTTAAGAAACATTCGATAGTCTTACCTCTAATTTGAGTCTTTTATTTGAATATTCGAAACAATCCAGTATTTTTATTATAACCAAATTTCGTTCATTGACAATATCTTCACCTAAATTCGCAAAAAAACTTGTAATACCAAAAAAGCATGGAATAATTCCACTAAATGTTGCTACGTAAAATCCAAATGAGTATTCAAATCGATAAAGTTGGACGTGATTGAACATCTAAAATCAAAATTTTTAAACTTCGAATTACTAAGCATTGCTTTAAGAATTTACCATTAAAGTGATCATAGCTGCGCATTCAGTGCTCAAGATCGTTAATTGAGTTCCAAAAATTTCATGAAACTTTGTCAACATTTTACCAATTAATCTCAATTTATTCAAACTTTTCACTGCAACTTTTTCCTCAAAATTCCAGTAATTTAATTCAGCTTTAATTTGTTTTATACTTAAAATTAAATAAACTTTGAAAGTATCTAGAAAGTGTACAAAGGCAACAGACGGGATCCAAATAAAAAATGAAATCATATGTAGAATAATTCCAATCTTTTTGTCCCAAGAAAGAAAACTGAAAAATTGTGGAATTGCTGATATAAAGAGAACAAGTAATAACAATAAGAAATCTCTAATGCAGATATCCTTGAAATTTGTTAAATAAGGTTCTGTTAAGTCATCAAATTCTGAAACCATTTTTAAAAATTTTGTAATTTTTTTATGTCTTTTAGACTGCAAAAAGACCAATGCACACATGCAATATTGAAATGAAGAGACAATAATTCCTAAAATTATATAAGAAAAGTTTGAATAATTTTTCAAATATGAAACTTCGTCGCTGTAAATGAAACTTTTGACTTGAGGATTGCTCATGTATAAAATCTGATAAGCAACTCCTAAAATAATTTTGCAAATGTTAAGCACTGCTTGAAAGTTTGAAGGCAATAGCTCTTCATTTTGAATCCTAATGCAGAAAATTCCACCGAAATTGTAACATTTGATAAGAACATTTCTTAAATTCTTTGATTTTGTGAACATTTTAGATTTGTAAAGATAAGAACTAAATTAAATCTACTTTTCGTTGATGATTTTTTCATTCAAAATGAATATCAATTACTTTATTCCCTATCAAAATTATTGATTCAGAAAACTCATTAAGTTAGAAGTTACAATTATTAATTCATCAATGCTTACATTCCTAATTCATACTGCATTAAAACTATGAAATATGAAACAGAAATCGATACGACAGTGAATGTAAATTTATGATCCATTAAAATATTGTTGAATATTTTGAAATTGTTATTTTCTGACAGTAGATTGACGTTGAATTCTTTGATCTATTTAAAGATTAAAATTAGTGGTGGAGAATATGTTATAATCACCATACTTACGATTTTCTTAACATTTCGATTACATAAATTATGCATAAAACTTTTATTCAAAATCATCAAAATCTTCATCTTTTTAACTGTTACATCCTCAGAAAGATTTGATATGAAAATTTTAATTTGAATCAAGTAAGGAATAAATGCCAAAAGGCTCACAAATTTAAGCTCAATATCAAGTCCGCTTGTTGAGGTTCGAATAAAGTTGAATGACTAAAGATTAAGAAAATATTCAAAATTAAGAAAATATTGTTCATGAAAATTACTTACAAAAGTTGTAATTGAAAATATACAGACTAGAGAACTCATTGTCAACTGCAGCCCAAAGTTTTTCTCAAAATATTCAAGAAAATTTTCAATTTTATTAAGTTTAATAATCAAATTATTTAACTTCGTTTCTTTTAAAGGAAAATACTTCAAATCATTCTCAATCTCATCTAGAGAAATCACTACGAATTGTTGAAAAATTGTGACAAAATTAATAAAAGACATGGCAATCAAATGTGGCTGAAATGTTGCGAACCAAAAAATGCATGGTAATATTTTGTCAGTTTGAAAACTTCGAAGATGTCTTATAATCGTAAGAATAGAAAGAAATCCAAAATAATAGAAAGTTGAAAGTATGGAAAATATTTTTAATTTTCTTTCGGAATCAGTTTTTAACTTGAATTTTAGAATTTGTTCAATAAATCTTAGAATTCTTCTGTTTCGGGAAATGTGAATTAATGCAAAAAGAAATGTTGATACGTGATAATATTTCATTGAAATTTGCATTATTACAGTTGAAAATGCTGATTGCTTCAACATTCTGGCTTCTGGTTTATAAATTTTATTTTTTACACTCTCAAATGACAAACTTGATATGAGCAAAACCATTGTAATTAATCTAAGAATTCCATAAATTTTAAAGAATTTTGACTCTTTTAATTCTAATTTTTTGGTTATTTTAATGCAACCAAATCCACAAAAGTTGTTTAATAAAATTAGCCAGCTATAGATCATGTCTAATTTAATATTGAAACAAAAGTAAAATGCTATTAAACTAGGAAAAAGCACCTTTTTTGGAATTAAGGAACTAATTTATGTTGCTTGGTGTTTAACTTAGGAATTGATGAATAATTTAATAAGGAACTGAAAAATAATTAATTGATTATTATGGATTATTTGGCATTTAGAAGTGAGCTAATCAATACAAACAACTAGATTAATTAAAGGATTATCAATGTGCTTTTTTCAACTTTTTGTTCAGTTTTGACTCAGTATCTGAATTGAGTTGATACCGTTAAAACCTCTTACGACATTAATAGGTTAAACTTAAATTTCTTAATGTTAAAACTTAAATTCCCAACTCAAATTGCATCAAAACAATAAAATAAGACACAGAAATTGACACAACTGTAAACAAGAACTTATGATCTAATAAGTAATTATCAAATATTTTTAAATTGTTGTTCTTGGACAGCAAATGGATGTGAAAATCTTTGATCTGTAAAATGGTTTTTGTTTAAATTAAAATTTATTTTGGAATTTTTCTTAAACCCACCAAAGTTTTTTGCTGTTTTGTCCAAAAATGAGAAAGCATCTGATTATTTAAAATCATCAAAATTTTAAGCTTTCTAATCGTAATCACTTCAGCAAGATTCGAAATGAAAATTCCTATTTGAGCTAAAAATGGAAGTACTGTGACTAGACTCACAAGTTTAAGATCAAAGTCGAAATTATTTGTTGAAGTTTGGATGAAGTTGAAGAACTAAAATCACATTTAAAAAATTTGAATTTAGTTTAGAATTTTAAATTCAATCAATTACTTACATAAGTCACAATTGAAAATACACAATTCACAGTGATTAGCGTCAATTGTAATCCGAAAGTTCTCTCAAAAGCGTAAAGAAAGTTTTCGATTTTCATAAATTTTGTCAAAATTTTTTCCAATTTTCTTTCATCCAAATTAAATTTTCCTAAATTCTGCTCAATTTCTGTCAAAGCAACGACAATAAATTGTTGAAAATTGCACACAAAATTCAACATGGCGAGTCCAATTAAGTGAGATTGAAAAGTCGCAAACCAAACAATAAATGCATAATAGTTCTTAGTCTTAAGGATTCTCATGTTTCTAATCATGATGATTGTTGATAGAATCCCAAAATAATAAATCGAATTTAGTATGCACACCTTCTTGAGCTTCTGTTTTGAAATTGCTTCCAATTTATACTTTGAAATTTGCCTCAAAAATTTCAAAGTTCTTTTTCGACGAATAAATTGCAGAAAAAGAAGGAAATATGCGCAGATATGAAAATATTTGTTTGTAAATTCAAAAACTATCCTTGAAAAGTCCGAATAATGTTTCAACTTTCTGGCTTGTGATATGTAAATTTTCTTTCTGATGCTATAAAATGATAAGCTAGTCGTGATTATAATTACGATAAATAACTTTAAAATTCCATAAATTTTCAAACATTTTGATTCTTTAAGTTCTGAATTTTTGGATGTTTTAATAAAACAAAATCCACAAAAATTGTTAATGAACATCAACCAACGATAGTTCATGATGAATTAAATAAATGTGACACTTTGGTTTCAAAAAGTTTGGTTTTTATTTCTTGGAATTAATTACATAATAAGTGTTTGGAAAGTAATGATTGACAGTTTAGAAAACGAAGCAGTTTAGATCAACGGAACCCTTACTTCGCCTTTAATGCATGGATGTTCTATACCCCCAATTCCAACTGTTCTAATACAATAAAATATGACACAAAAATAGACACGACCGCAAACATGAACTTATGATCCAATAAGAAGCTGTTGAAAATTTTGAAATTGTTGTTTTTCAGCAGCAGTTTGATGAAAATTTCCTTGATCTACAATTAAGGTTGATTAAGTTATTTTATGGTTTCAAGGAATTATAATTTAAGTCTACCATTTTTTTCTGTCTCCTTGTGCAGACTAGATAAGATAATTGGTCATTCATAGTCTCAAAGATTCTTGACTTTTCAAACGTAATTTTTTCTGCCAGATTCGTTAGAAAAAGTCTGATCTGAACAGCAAATATTATGTAAAAAGCTAAAGTTGAAAGCTTGAAATTTACATCAGATTCAATTTTTAATGTTTGAACAAAGGTGAAGAACTAGAAAAGGATTAAAATGCATTACAAATATTAGCGTATAAAGTGATTGAAGGATTCAAAATGTTTTCTTTATGATTGTTACTTACATTTCCTGTTATTGAAAATATACAATTAACAGTAATCATTGTCAGTTGAAGCCCGAAAGTCTTTTCAAAAGCTTTAAGAAAATTCTCAATTTTAACGAGATTAATTAGAGATTTTTCTAAATTTCTCTTTTTCATCACAAAGTTTTCCAAATTTTCATGCACTTCCATTAAAGCAATAATTATGAATTGTTGAAAATTTACAAAAAAACTGAGAACTAAGAGAATTGTCAGATGTGGTTGAAATAAGATCAGCCATATCACATATGAAAGAAATCGATCACTCTTCATGAGTCTGAAAAGTCTTAAAAGATTTCCAGTTGTAAAAAGTATGAAGTTAAGAATTGTGTTTATAATTTGCAGCTTTTGAAGCTTCTGTTTAGATGCATCTTTGAGTTTAAAGTCATCAATAACTTTCAAAAATTTGATAATTTGTTTCCTTTTATTGTAATGAATTATGAGAATTAAAATTCCACAAACATTAAAATATTGAACACTAAAAAGAAGGACTATCTTCGTTAAGTTTGAAAAATACTTCAGATCGAAAGCATCAGGTTTTAAAATATTTCTCCTCACGTTTGTTGAATAAGCAAGAATGAACAAAATTATTGTTAAAAATATAATTTTAAATAATGAATAATATTTGATTTTTTTCGATTCTTCCCATCGATTCTTATTTGGAAATTTAATGCAAGTAACTCCAGCAAAATTATTTAAAATTATTAACCAATGATAATTCATGATGATTTGGTTCAACTGATGATTTTAATTGAACAGGAAATTATTTTCATATTTTATAAACTGCAATTAGTATTAAGATTGTGGTAATGAATAGTGAGTTACAATTTATCAAATTAATTTGAATTTATTAATTAAAATTTGTTATTTTATGTCAATCAAAAGCTTAGAAGAGAATGGTTATTGACAGTGATATCTTTGTCGTTTTTGAACCTGAATATTTTTGTTATTTCGAGTAATTCTTTATTTAATTAAACGATGAAATAACTCAGAAACATTAATTGATTTCAAACTTCATCTCCTTAGATTCCCAATTCAAATTGAATTAAAACGATGAAATATGACATGAAAATCGAAACAATTGAAAACAAAAATTTGTAGTCAAGTAAAATGGAGTTGAAAATTTTTAAATTTTGGCTTTTTGACAGCAAACTGATGAAAAGTTCCTTGATCTGAAAAAAGGTTCCTGTTAGTAATTTGTGATTTCCAAAAAGACAATGATTTCCAAAAAGAGAACTCACAATTTCTTTTTGATAATCAGTACATACTAAATAATAAAGATCATCACTCAATATAAATAAAATGCTTCTTTTCTCATTAGAAATTTCCTCAGCAAAATTTGATATGAAGTATGACGCTTGTATGATAACTGGAATGAATGTGATCACATTTATAAATTTTGTTTGAACATCGAAATTAGATCTTGTTCCTTGTGCAAAGTTGAATGTCTGCAAGATTAATTAATTGTTTATAAATTTTCCAACTTCACTTTCAAGTCAAATCATAGTTAAACTTACAAATGTAACAACTGAAAAGACTACATTAACCGTAATCAAAGTTAGTTGAAATCGAAAGATATTTTGAAATTTTTTGATAAGCTTTTCAATTTTGTCAAAGTTTGTTAAGCAAATCTCCAAATTTTCATAGTTTAAAACATAGTTTTGCAACTTCTCTTTCACTTCTCTCAAAGCAAGGACAACAAAATGTTGAAAATTGCAAATAAAATTAAAAGTAGCGTAAATTATAAGATTTGATTGAATAATACCGAAACAGATTATATAAGAAGGGAAGTAAGTGATATCATAAAGTATAAATTCTCTTATTAAGACTCCAGACATAAATACTCCCACATTAAAGGCTGTATTCATTATACATCTTCGTTTGAGAGATTTTCTTGAACTTCTCGTTATCTTAAATCTTTCCATGGCTTTCAGTAAGCTCATAACTTCATTTCTACGATAACACTGCAAAGCAATTATAACAAAACTATAAGTGTAGAAATAATTGACAGAAATTTTCAAAACATTCTTCGAAAAAGTTGAATAATTCTTTAATAAGAAATCATTCGATTTAAAAACTTTTGCAGTAAGTCCATCATAGAAATGAAAACTGAGAAACAAAATTATTAAATAAAAAAACTTAAAAATTGCAAAGAATTTCAGAAATTTTGATTCCTTCCATTGGTTATGAGCAGAAATATTTATGAAAGTGACTCCAGAAAAGTTGTTCAAAAACATCAACCAGTTCATGATAACTGAAATTAAAGGTGGATTAATAATATGAACTAACAGCGCATTGTTAACACAAATCTATTAAATATTAATGAATAAATAACAAATAAAATCAATCAATATAATTTCTGGATTAATTGTTCTTAATCCTTCATTACAAATTTAACTTGATATTTCTAATTCAGAATTATATTCCGAACTCAAACTGCATCAACACAATAAAGTAAGACATGAAAATTGATACGACAGCAAACAAAAACTTTCGATCTAATAAGATGCTGTTGAATATTTTGAAATTGTGATGACAAAGTATTGATTTTATTAAAACTTCTTTAATCTAAAATAAAAATGATAATTAAATACAAAATCTTTAAAATAAATTTCGACTCACCAAATTTTTCTGCGTTCTTGATAAAGATTGAAAAGCACTTTGTTGCGTCAAAATCTTCAAAATTTTTAATTTCTCGTAAAAAATTTCTTCAGCAATAGTTGATTTTACAATTTGAAGGAAAATTGGGAATAATGATATAAAATTTATGAATTTAGTCAAATCTTTGAAATGTGATCTGAACGACTGAATCGAATTGAATGTCTATTCGTTTTGGATATAAAACAATTAATAGATGAATGTCCAACATATTTTAAATTAACTTACAAATGTGACAAAAGCAAACACACAAGTGACATTGCTAACTGTCTGCTGTAATCCAAAAACTTTCTCATAATATTCTAAAAAGTTTTCGATTTTTACAAATTTAATGATCGATTTCTCCAATTTATTTTTACTGAATTCGAAATCTTGAAGATCACTTTGAATTTCTCGTAAAGTAATCAGCACAAATTGTTGGAAGTTGTTATAAAAGTTAAATGACGCGGAAATAATAAAATTTACTTTAAATGCTGCAAACCATCCAATATACGCAAAAGTATTGTCGAATCTATAGATTAATAAGTTTCTTATAATCATTATTAAAGTTGGAAATACAACAATGAAAATAAAATTAATGCAGGATTTTTTCTTTAACTGATTTTTAGAACTTTCAAGCATTTTGAATTGATTAATAGCTGTCAAAAAATTTGCAATAGTTCTTCGACGAAACAATTGAGCAATTAGTAAAACAATTCCACAAACATCAAAACATCTTATCGCGAGCAACAAGACAAATTTTGAAAATTTTGAATAATCATTAAGACTTGCTGTGCTGAAGTTAACAAGTCTTTGATATATTTCTGCAGAAAATGAAACCAACAATAAGTTGAGAGATGTAAGAATAATACTTAAAATTCCATAAATTAATAAGTATTTCGACTCTTTATATTTATTTTTACTATGAGAATCAATAATGGTGAAGCTACAAATATTATTAAAGACTAACAACCACAAGTAGTCCATAGTAATGCACAATGAAAACAAAAGCATTTTCAATTAAGTTTTATTAAATTGACAGGTTTGGGTGTACATTAGATAATTAACAAACTTTATTCATTTTCGTATTAATTGACGTATCAACTCTACACACTAAAAATAAACTAAAATTCAGTTTTTCTTGATTCAATGTCACTTTGAATCAAGAAAATAAAATTTGAGATTAACATTCCAATGCATGCAAATAAAAATCTGTTATTCATCGTTGCACCTCCAAATAAAGTTACATTTAAATTTGATCGATGAATCAGCTCTATCAAGTATAAAATTCTCTAGAAATGTGAAAAAGATGAAATTTTGAGAAAATATGTTGAATTTTAAAGACTTACTGTTTTTTTGCATAAATTGCAGTTATTGATGTTGTTTGAAAGGATTTTAGCTGTTTTCATACCCTGAAAATGTTTGTGATTATTTTATATTGCTGTTGTTCATACACAACATTTTATATTTGTGAACTTGAAGACCTGATTAAAGTTTTCAATAAAGTTACCTTTTCAAAAATTTTGTGGGATGGATAAACCAAAAAGTAGACAAACATTGATAAATGAAAGAATGATGAGAACGACATGGCTGCTATAAAATGTATAATATTAAAGCCTTTCCCAAAAATAAATAGCTGAAAAATCTTATATCGAAACAATTAAAATTAATATTTTACACAAAGATTTTTTAAAAAAAATCACTCACAATTTTTGTTATTGTTATCAACTGGATATTCACATATAAAGTAATTGTTGATCCAAAAGATTCTTTGAGCAAATCAAAAAGTTTCTGAATTTCATATAATTTGTACAGCAAATCTTCACAGTCGCTGTGAATCAGCTCAGTTTGACTTTCAATAATTTCATTACACTTTTTTAAAAGACATTCACAATGAATCAGCATAAAATAAAGAAATGAAAATAAACTGAACAAATAAATTGACACATTGAAATTAATTATGTCATTTAAAAGTTCAATCCAATTCTTAGAAGTGTCATAAACAAAATAACTCGTTAAATTTATAAAAAAGTAAAATAAAATTAAAAAAATGAAAATTGCAATTTTCGTTTTTAATTTTCTTAAATTAAATTTGAAATTTTTTGCATCGCAAAATCTTTTGAGATTTAAAAAAATTGTGAAAATTTCAGCAATTTTCTTTTGCTTGCGTAAATGAATCCACACCATGACTATCAACAAATCTGTACTGTATAACGAAGTAAGTTGAAGGAAATTTCTTGTAAAAAGTGATATTTTAATTTTTGAATCTATTAAAATATTATTAAACTGATCAAAAAACTTTATTATTGATATTATAATGAAAATTATCTTCATTTTAAAATGCAAAACTTTTGAAATTTTAAATTTTTTTCCATCAAACTTAAAATTCAAAACTCCAAAAAGATTAAAGGCAAAAAACAGAATTTTATAAATTTTATTGCTCATTCTTTCGTAAAAATATTAGTTTTAGGTTAAATGAATTGCTGACAACCTTGTTGTAGCTTATCAAATGTATGTTTTAATTTAATTATTAATCGAACTAAAAGCATTTACTTAATTAAAATGTCATCACTTTGTTCAATAACAAAAATATGAGGAAACTAATTCCAACTTTTATTCAATAAATATGAAAAATTTATTACAATTATTTAATTATCCTTTACTGGATTCAATATCATTTTGAATTAGAAATATTATATTCGAAAGCATAAATCCAATGCATGAAAATAAAAATCCATAATTCAATTCTGAACCTCCAAAAACAGTTACTTTCAAATTTGATCGATGAATCAGTTCTATTAAATATGCAGCTCTCTAGAAAATTATTAAAAAATTAGATTTTTTTTGAAAGAAATTAATGATAAGCTATTTTACAATTTTCCTGCAAGAACCACAGTTTTTGATGTTATCAGATAATATATTGACTGCCTCGAGGCCCTATAAGAACAAACTCAGATCGCATTTTACTTGTTGAAGATGAAAAATTTACTTACATTCATATAAATAACATGCGAAGGATAAACCAGAAAGTAGACGAATAAAAAAATTTGAGTTAAAGATGTTAAGGACATAGATGTCAAAATATCAAAAAACTGCAAATTTTTCTTTCCAATAAAAGCTAAGAAAATCTAAAATTATAAATTAAATTAAGAACATTTTTAAAAATGATTAAACCTTTATTTACAATTTTAGAGATGATGCTAAGTTGAAAAATTGCAAACAAAAATATCGTTGATTTAAATGATTTTTTAAGCAATACGAAAAGTTCTTGAATTAATATTAAATTATTCAGCAAATTTTGACAATCATTATGATTATTCTTTAATTCATTATTAAGAATTTCATTGACATTATTCAAAAGAGAGTAGTAATGAATTAAAATAAAATAAATAAAAACAAAAAAACTTATGAAATACATAGATACAATAGCAATTAAGAATTTGTTGATTACTTCTGACCATTTTATATTAGATTCATGAAAACACAAATCCATCAAAACTATACTAATTTGAAGAAAAATGATAACAAGAAAAAAATTAATTTTAAATTTTAATTTCTTTAAATTGAGTTTAACTTTGTTTTCATCACAAAATGTTTTTAAATTATAAAAAATTGTGAAAATTTTCGCAATTTCTTTCTGTCTATGTAAATGAATCCATGCCATGATCATAATTATATGAATCTGAGACTGTTCATTTAATTCTAAATAAGTCTTTGAAAATAATGAGATTGAACTAATGTTATGCCTATGAAAAAAATTATATTGATCTAAAAATTTTTTAATTGTTAAAATGACAAAAATTATCAAAGTTTTATAATAAAGAATTTTAGAAAATTTAATATTTTTCCGATCAAATCTTAAATTTAAAATTCCTAATAAATTATACACGAAAAAAATAATTTTGTAAGTTCTGATCTTCATTTTGATATTTAATGTTGATCCGTTTCAGTTTTATTTTTTACTAACAGTTTAGTCATATAAAGTCAATATTAATTACTCATACTCAATTAATTAATATTAATTGAAATGGTTTGTTTATGAATAATTAATTTAGAAATGTCTATTCATTTCAATTTTAGGATCTTGTTTCTAAATCACTTTGGATTAAAATAATTAAATTAGATATTAGAGATCCAATACATGTGAACAAAAATCTGTAATTCATGTTGACGTTTTCAAAAAAATTTACATTAAACTCTGATTGATGAATAAATTCAAGTAGCAAAATTTTTCTCTGAAAATTGATTAAAACTGGTTCATTTAAAATTTTATATAAATTTCTGTATTTCTCACAGTTTCTCTGCAAACATTGCAGTTCAAAGCACCACTTGAAAGAATTTGTAGCATTTCAAATTTCTGCAAAAAAAAATTTTGAAATTATTAAAGATCAAATTGTAAATTAATGATTCAACTTAACTTTTTGTTCAATGTTTTGTGAAGGTTGAATAAATGCAAACAGAAATATTGAGAAACTTATTACTGTATACATCAAGAGTGGGAGAAAATCTAGGTTTCTAAAACGAATGCTTAAAGATATTGTCACAAAAACCTGCCAATAAAATTTGTTAAACAATTTTTGAATTATTGCAAATCAAAAAATTGAACTCACGAATCCAATCGTTCCTAGTAATTCATTTAAAGTTTCAATTTTGAATATTTCTCCAAAAGTTTGATTTAATGTTGCGAAAAGCTCCTTCACTATGGACAATTTTCTAAGCAAATGGTCACAATTGTCATGAACTAACTCAAATTGATTTTCAAGAATTTGATTTATATTTTCAAGAATAAATACATAATGAATCAAAATTATATTGTAAAAATTTAAAGTTAAAAAATGGTAAGCTTTTAAAGAATGTTCAGTTAATGATAATATTAAGTCCACCAATCTAACACGCTTTTTTAAAAAGAATAAGTCAGAATAGTCAAATGCTAAAATTATGACAATAAAGAATACAACAAAAGATTTCATGATTTTCCTTAAAGCTGTTTTAAAGTTAATTTTAATCTTTTTATCGTCACAAAATGTTTTTAATTCATAAAATCTAGTAAAAATAACTGCAATTTTGTGTTGTTGACTTAGTAGAATCAATGCATTAATGAATGGAAAAATATTGATACTTGATTTTACGATAGAAACAAAAATTAAAAAAAAATTGGATATTTTTTTAAAAGGTTTCGGTCCTTCATACTCTCGCCCTCCTTCGAAATATTTAAAAATTCCATTGAAAACTAACACAAGACCCATCACAACAATTGATTTTAGACGTAGGGATTTTGGTGCTCTGAACAATTTTCCATCAAAATTGATGCTTAAAACACAAATCAAGTTAAAAAAGTTGAATAATTTTTTATAAAATTTCGTTGTCATGACTGAAGTTTGATAAAGTAATGAGCATATTAGACTAATAAGGAGACACATTTTGGTAATTATTTTAATAACAACTTAATAATCGATTTATTGATTCATTATTCTCTTGACCTTAGATGTAGTTTTCGATTAATATAATTACAACTTATCTGAATCCATATCAGTTTGAATTAACATAATTATATTCGAAATTAATATTCCAGTTGCTACAAATAAAAATCGATAATCCATGTTAATGCTTCCAAAAATTTTGATATTCAAGTCAGATTGATGAAGCAGCTCAATGAGAAACATATTGTTCTGAAAATATATCTGATTAAGCACAATTCAGTTTATTTGGATTAAACTCACATATTTCTTGCATAATTCACACGTTAAGTTGTTATTTGATAAGATATAAATCGTGTCTTGCTTCTAAAAAATTAAAATGTGAACTCTTCAAATTAGAAAGAAAGTCATCTTCAGTTTTGTTTACCAATTGATCGATTTTTTGGCCTGGCCGAAATAAAATTTCATAAATTACAATAAATTTTACAACTGCAGAAAAAAAGTAAGGTGAGGTCCATAAAGAATTCGAATTATCTAACAAAACTATTGATTTAAAAACCTACAAAATAAAATTTTAGCAATCAAAATTTAAATCATTAACTTTAGTAGATATTTTTACTTACACAAAAAATCACCAATAAGAATTCAACTAAGACATTAAATGTGAAAATCATTCCAAAAGCTTTGTTCAATAAATTGAATAAAATTCGTATTTTATAGAAGTTCTCAATGAAATTTGTGCAATTATCATGAAAAATATCAAACTGTTTTTCAAGAATTTGATTTAAATTTTCAATTAAAAACTCATAATGTATTAAAATAATATGAAAAATGTAGAAACTCCATGTGTAAAATGTTTGTAAGAAAACATAAAAACTTATTGAAATAATAACTTTAAAATCATTTTTAATTCCCAATAACGGACCAACTGAACTTATTAAATTGAAAAATAAAAATGTGAAAAATGAAATTAAAATTGTTTGTTTAATTTTTCTTAAATTTATTTTAAAATTTTTCTCGTCACAAAAAATTTTAAGATCGAGAAAAATTGTAAAGATTTTGGCAATTGTTTTCTGACTCGAGATTAGAAGAACAATCCATGTCAGCACCAAAAACAACAAACTTATGTAAAATAAACTAGAAAAATAGATTGAAAATTTTGAAATTTGAGATCTATTTGAAGGATTTGAAAATGACTTAACTGATGCAAAAGCACGTTCGATGAATGTCAAAAAAGATAGGAAAGTTATTAAAAATGACTTTATTCGAAGTGATTTTGGTGAAGAAAATTTTTCACCGTCAAATTTGACACTCAAAATGCAGATCGTATTGAGAAATTTAAAAACAAATGAATATAAATTTAAAATCATTTGTGTAATTTATTGACTGTAATTTGTTTAATGAACTTTGAGTGACTAACCAAACGCATGTGATATTTTTACAATAAATTCATTTTTAATTAATTAAATTTTAATAATTAATTTGAGTTCCAATACTTTTGACAACAAAAAGTGCTGTTTCTATGGAGATAAGTGAAAATTAACAAATCATGTGAAAAAAAATTCTTATTTTAAAAATCCACAATTTTTAACTTTTCCCTGACTCAATATCACTTAAAACTAAAGTTATTAAATTAGAAATTATCATGCAAATGCTGGAAAATAAAAATTTATAATCGATTTTCACATTTTTGAAGAACCTAACACTTAAATTAGGTTTATTTAAAAGTTCGATGAGAAGCATTTTACGCTGAAAAATTCAAAAATGAAGAAAATTTAATGTTAAGCCACAAAAGCTGAATTCTTACGTGTTCTTTGCATTTATGACAGTTTGTAATATTGTTCGTAAGGATAAATAGTGTTTCTGATATCTATAAAATTTCAATGGAGAAATTTTCATTAAATTTAAAATCAAAAGTTTAAGTTTTCATTACCTTGAACTCAATATTTTGGGATGGATTAATGTAAGTAATTATCATATTTGATGTGATTGAAATTGCGTTGAACATTAAAAGAAATATTGAATTTATTGTCCTTGTTAAAGCAATTGTTGAAAATACCTAAAAAGTTTATGATTTTAATAAGAATTATTATGAAAATGGTTGAAACTTACAATAGTTGTGATTCCGGTTAAGTTATTAATAGTAATTATCGACAACACTGTTCCAATTGTCTTATTCAGAATATTAAAGGCATTCTGAATTTTTCGAATATTTTCTATGTGGTTTGTACAATCATTATGAATTAATTCATCTTGATCTTCAAGAATCTTATTAAAGTTTGTAATTAAAAATTCATAATGATATAAAAGAATGTTAAGAAAGCATGTACATTCTGTACAATAAAAAATACAAATAAAATCAAAGAACATAAAAATCAGAATTTCATTTAATTTTAAAAAGCCGAGATCGAACAACAATGAAAAAGTGTATGAAGCTGTAAAAATTATCAGCATAATGTTGTAATATACGAATGAAATTAACATTTTACTCTCTATTCTTTCAAAATCTTTTCTTGAACTTTCAAACTTTTTGAAATGATTGAAAATTGTAAAAATCCTAGCGATATATTTTTGACGAATTAAAAAAATTGCTACCCACATTGTGACGGTTAAAAAATTTAGGAAAGCTACAAGATCAAAAAACATTTTTGAAAAATTTGTGACTTTCAACTGCACAGTTTGGTCAGTCAAGCTTTTCAAATAAAAATAAAATCTTGCTGCTAGATAGCAAAACATGAAAATTGATGTAAAAAAGTATCGCAACTTTGAAATTTTATAAATCCTTCCATCATAATATAAACTGAAGACACCGATGATGTTGAAAAATCTATAAATTAATTTATATGTTCTTGAATTAGCCATTTCGATTTATCAGTTTTTTTTCAATACTAAGAAGATTGTTCTGCCTACTACTAGTTGATTTAATATTTCCATAAGCTCGAGGTTTACTAAAATATGGTTTTATAAATTAATTTGGAGGATGTCATTTATTATTTATTTCTTTTGTACTCTTGGTACTTTATATTTATTAATTAGTCATATCTTTCATCACTTTAGTCTTTATAGACTGTTAATTAGATCACTATCAATTTATTCAATCAAATGTCAATAAAACATAACAATTTGTAAAGATTCAATTTTTGCTTGACTCAATATCACTTTGTACTAAAATGATCAAGTTTGACATAAAAATTCCAAAAACTAAAAACAAAATCTTAAAATTAACGTTGATGTTTCCAAAAAATTTCACATTTATTTCAGGAGCATGCAGCAGTTCAATGAGGCACATTTTTCTCTGCAAATATTTGTAGTTTTAAGGAATTTGATGAATTTGATAAAATATTAACTTACATATTCTCTGCATTTATTGCAATATAATGTGTAGTTCGAAAGGATGAGCAATGTTTCAGATTTCTTTTTAAAAATAAATAAACTTGAACTTTCCATGTCTGATAATTTGTCAAAAACCATTGATTTGCTTACCTTTCGTTGAATGTTTTCAGCTGGATTAAAGAAAGTTATAATTAAAACTGATGTTCCCATTGCAACATGTGCTAATAATATTAATAATGCAGAAGCAGTTACTTTTCTCACAGCTGCTGAAAATGCCTTCCAAAATCAATTTTATAATTTTTATTAACAATTTAAAAATTTAGAGTATTTAAAAATTACCATGTAAGTTATATCAATGAACCGATTAATTGTGATGATTGAAAAAATTCTTTCAAACGTTTTGTTAAAAAGTGAAAAAAAATTTCGAATTTGGACTAAAACTGCAATCAACTCGTGGCAATTTTCATGCTTTTGTTCCAATTGATGTTTGAGTATTGAATTAAAATTTTCCATTAAACTTTCTAAATGAATTAAAACTAATCTCGACACAACCAAACTTTCAATTGAATAAACAATACTTATTGAGTCGAAGATAAAATGTGATAGAAATCCAACAAAAGTTCTAATTTTAAAGTCAACTATAATCATCTTTATAGCAGCCAACATCAAAATAATTATGAAAAAATTATAAATTAAAAATGAAATTACAAAGTTTTTCAATAGTTTTTTAAGGCTGATTTTACAGTTTCTTTTGTCTGCCATTTTTTTAAAAAGATAAAAAAATGTGAAAATTTTCGCAAAGTTCTTCTGATTAATGAAAAAAATTATTCCATGAACTACTGTAAAAATAATCACAAAATTATTTGCTATTGTATAAAATAGTTTTGTAAAGTTTGTGACGCTGATGTGTTGAAAACCTTCAGATAAGCCTTTAATTCTTAAATATGACCAAATAATATTGTACGAAAAAATAAAAATAAATGAAATTATGTTGCGAAAATTTGAACATTTAAACTTATTTCCATCAAATTTGATGTTCAAGATTCCAATAATTTGAAAAAAGTTTATTATTGATTTATAAGCTCTGATGTTGAGCATGTTGACTAGATATTTGACTATTGGTTAATGACTAAATTTGACTTCGCTGGTTTTTATAATTAATTTCAATCAATTAGTTTGTCGACTTCTATCATTTCTTATTTTGTCTTCCCCAATTGAAAAAATAAATGTGATTAAATTAAACAGTAGCAGTGAATTTCGAGTATTTCTCATATTTTTCTTATTGCAGTTTTTTGTTTCTAATTTCATAGTAATGAATTCAATAAATTCAAATAATTTAAAGAAAACTTTCACAGATTTTGATCATCCGGAAAGGAAATAAATAATTCAATTAACATTAAAATTGTGAATAAAGCGGTAGCTATAACGTAAATTAAAAACAACGGAATGCAAAGATTAAAAATTTTGAATTCATTATCATTAAATTTTAAATTCAAGTCGCAGAATGTGCTGAAACGTGCTTAACAAAAGGCACAAAAGAACGCTGAAATTTCAAAACTCGATGAAAAATGTCTAATTCCGCTTTTCTCGATATTTATTTTCAATGCCTTAAACGGCTGACGTTTCTCTGTTGAAACAAACAAATATAAAATTAATAAACAATTTAAATTAATTAAATTGCTCTTACAAAATTTTGTGCCTTTCACACTCTTTCACACTTCGATTCCAAAAGAAAGTTCTGGATACGAGGGGTATGAAAAGTACCTTAGAATTGCCTGATGGGCTTAAAACAAGAGAAGGTTCGAATTTGTCAGTTACAAATTCGCGTAAATGACAAAGAAGGAAGGAACAATTTAAGTTTTTTAATTAATTCAATTTAATAAAATTCAACTTTTAATTCAAAATATTGCTCGTCACTTTCAAATAGTGACACCGATGGAATTAAAGAAGGTACGAATTTTAATTTGTGCCCTTTGGGTTGCTTACATAAACAAATGTTAAATTTGTTGATTTGTTGATTAATTAACGAGATAATAAAACTATGTTTTAATAATTCAATGATTATTGTACGCAATTGAAAATATATTGATTATATTTGATAATGAATTGTGTATGATTCGAAAGACAACGCAATAGCGAAAAGTTGGTGAAACAATATATAAGGCTTGAATTGATATATGTTTTAACAAAAAGATTTAAGTTTATTCATTTAAAAGGAGTTTTAAAACAGACATAAGCATTGTTCTGAAACTTAAAAAAAAACGAATTACAAATTACTAAACGCACATCACAAACGTAAGTATTTAAGCGAAAAAATTAAATAGCAATTTAATTATCGTATGCTATCAAATAAATTTAAGCAGAGTAAATTTTGTAGCAAAGACCGGAAAGAAAAAAGTTATTTATAGCTTTATTAAGTCACAAATTTTTATTAGTAATTGTGAACACGTAGTGATTATCATAAAAATATTAAAAGGATTATTCATATATGACGTCCAATATTTTCGAAAAACAAAATTTCAGTACATTTTATAAAAAATAATATTCGAGAAACGAAGTTAAAAGAAGTTTAAAATCACGAGTGGTATTGAAAAATTTAATTGACGTAATTTTTTAACGGCTCTTAATGTTATCATTCCTAAAATAATTTTAACAACTTTTGTGTTACTCAGTTTGTTGTTAGCATTTATAGGCTTCGATTGTATAATTTCGAATTTCAAAACTTAAAATTCAAGAGATGCAAGAAGCAACTTTTCAAATTGAAGACTTGCAAGCAAAATCTGTAACGAAACTTAATAAAGATATTGGATGTTCTTCATTGACCTTAGATATAACTTTTAAAACGTCATGCAACAACTGTAGATGCCGAGGCTTATCCTCTTGCAACTGTGGCTACAATTATAATTCAAATAGTAATAAAAAGGATTTGGAAATTAAAGCAACAATAGTAAACAAATGCAATCTTAAAGCGGATTTAGAAAAAGCTTTGTTTAGCGAAGATTTGAGTGATTTTGAATTCATTATTGAAAACGAAAAAATTCATGTAAGCAAGTTTATCTTATCAGCAAGAAGTCCTGTTTTCAACCGATTATTTAATTCGGAATTCAAAGAAAAGCAACAAAATCAACAAGTTTTAAAAACAACGTTTTCAAAAAGTGCATTTAAAGAACTGATTCGATACATTTATATTGGTGAGGTGCGTGATTTAAGCAAACATGCGTTCGAGTTGCTCCAAGCGTCTGACTACTATCAAGTTGAAAGCCTTAAAATCATTTGCGAAGAAGAACTACTAAAAATTTTAGTGGAAAGTAATGCAAATAAAATTTTTCAATGTGCTCATCTATTTCGATGTAGTGAAGCGCTGAAACAAGCTGCTTTTAATTTAATTAAAAAAATATTTAGTGCCAAGAATTATAATATTCCAGCAGCATTGCTCAACAATCCATCAAAAGTTTCGAAACTTTTTGATATTAAATACTCATTGGAAAATGAATTGAGTCAACCATCAACCCCTGAAAACGAGAAAGTTTTATCAAATTTTGAAATATTAACGGCACCTCGATCAAGAAAATTAATTTGAAAAATAAAGATAAAAAATATTTTATGAATCTTTTCTTACTTATTTTCATCCAAATTCAATTAATTCATACATTCAAAATCTTATTAATAATCAAACGGTATTTAAATTAAAACCTTGAAGGTTGGTGTTAAATATATTTCCAAATGTAGCTAAACATAATTCACTAAATAAAATCACTATTAGCTCCGTGCTGACAACATTTTACACAGAATCATAGTAAAGCATGTTAAGTTTAGTTTTAATACTTAAAATTAGTGTTAAATGGGTTTTTCCTACCAAGAGAATCAAAAATATAAGCTTTTTTTTGCCATGACGGGGCTCTGGCATAGAATATAAATAAAAATAATAATAATAATAATTAGAGCTTTATTACATCATAATATTAAATAATCAGATCAGCACATAAAACTCAAAACGCTAACACCAAACCATTTTCAAATTTCGAAATCGAAAACCTAATAATGTTTGTGTAATTTTTATGTGTGAACACTAACCGCGATCAAATTTTATATTTTAACTTTAAAAATAATTATCATAACGAGACAATCAAAAATATAATGGAGTTAAAGCAATAAATCTTATGTCATAATGTGCTTTATAAGCTAAATAAAATGAAACAAATACAATTCTGATAAGATATCTGTAATTTTTGGTGAATCATCGAAAGTAAAATCATTAGTTAGGCATTGTGGCTAGCCACAAGGTAAATGTTAATTGTAAAGTATTTTAATTGAGAACATAAAACAAATGAATGTTGAAATCATTAAATAATATCTCCTTAACCATAATATTGTAAGCAGGGGGAAAATTAAGTTTGTTTTTATACTTTATCGACATATTCGCGTGCACAACAAAAATCATATTTTTTGACGGACATCATAAGTGAATTGCCCCTAAGATTAATAGACGAAGAGTTCATAGAATTAAAATTCTAAATCAATAAAATTAAATTATAAAACATTAAACATTATAAAATAAATAAAAATCAACAAATATCTCTTTCAGATCGATTACAAACAATTACAATCGATTGACAATTCTTCTAACATTTGATAAATTGACTTCACTACCTGATGCCTTAAAAAATAAAGACATTACATGAAAAGTAAAATCTCTTTTTGTTTGTTCGATCGGCAATTTAATTTTTTCAGGATCAAATCTCTGTTTTGTCATTGCGAAAAATTCTCAGAACTTCCATTATGACCCAAAAGATAAAAACCAATTTTTAACAAATCATCAAACAATCAGTTATATTTATCTGAATCTTTATTCTCTGGTTGCGCAAAAAATAGTAAATAAATAAACAGAAGAAGTAACACATTTGCAGGAGCAAAAGACAAAAGAGACAATGGACAATTTGATGAAATTCTTTTCTTTTATTCCTGCCAATTTTCTATGGTAAAAGAATAATTTTTTATTGTCCATTTCAACACAAAAATAAAGGAGATGTTTGCACAACATGATGCTATTTATGATACCGTCTTAGCTGTATAATCTGTAAGAATTAATAGAAATTTCAGATGGACACAATTTCCAATGAATTTTTTTGCGCTTTTGTTTGTTTCTAAAATTGCCGAAAAAAAGGGCAAGAACAGCACAAAAGAGACTTTATGTTAAGCAAATACAAGCT